GCAAGGGGATGTCCAGTGGCCTATAAATGGGCTTTGGGTCTCCACTCCGCACTCCCCCCATCATTCACTATGGTAAGATTTTTTTGTTCTGATGATGCCTGATAACTGATCCCTTTGGCACCTCGTGATCACACAGGCTGGTGTGTTCTACCATGTAGGCTTTGTTGCTTCTGAGCTAGATGGCCGCTTGTTTACCTTCAGAACTTTTAAACCCCAAACTCGTCCTTTTTATATTTGATAATCACTTTTTCCTAAATTTTTCCTAAATTTATTTTGGTAAGCTCTGTAGTAGTAACTTCAGTGAGAAGTCTGTCGTTTCAATACAGAAAAATTTAGTCCTTAGGCCCTTATAATCAAATATAAATTTATATAAATGTATAGTTATACTAACAGGCCTCAAAAAATTGTGGAGAACTCATCATCTTTCAGTTCCATTGTGCCATAAACTTTTTGAAACCTCCTGCTCATATAAGTACTTTCACTACCTGAGAGGATCGGTGAATGATTCATTGACTATTCAAGTGTAAAATACATTAGGACAAACTCCTTTGCCAGAAGTACACTGTAAATCTGAGTCAAAAGAATGCAGACTTTAACAGAACTTGTCAATAATTTAAAGAATCCAGAAAGTGCTTGAATCATATGTACCAAAAAAGTACTCAACCCACATCATCTCATAAGAGTGACCTTCCTGGAATTCAAGTTAACAATAGCTATCAACATCTTGAAACTATTCTAGCCATAGTTTGAGTTCTGAGTTTTTGGGGGGTTTTTTTTCATTGCTGGTGGTAAGCCTGTATGGAGACTGGAATTCTTACATGCTGCTGGTATGATTATAGAATGGTATAACCACTATGAAAATCATGTGGTACTTTCTTAAAATCTAGCAGTAAAAATATCATCCAATCCAGCACTCCCACCCCTAGGTGTGTATCCTAGGGCAATAAGAGTGGTTGCATAAATACACAAATCACATCTATCTTCATTACAGCATTATTCACAGTGGCAAAAGATGAAAATAACTTATATGCTCATCAACAAATGAATGGATAAACAAACCGTGTAATATATGAGGGGTAACCCCCCCAAAAAACTTTTTTTTTCAAAGCCATGTATTTAATTTTTTTTTACAAAAACAGCATCATTATCTTCAAAGCACTCTCCATTACACATTTGTCAAATCTGCCATTCCATTCTTGGAATCATTTTTCAAACTCATCTGTTTGGATGGCTGCACCTCCCTCTGTTTGTTTTTTCACCTATTCTACATCTTCAAATCACTGTCCTTTCATGTCCTACTTCATTTACAGAAACAAAAAGAAGTCATACAGTGCAAAGTCAGGTGAGTAAGGTGCATGGGGCAAGAGAGGCATGCTGTTTTTGGCCAAAAACGCACAATGCAATGGCTGCATGAGCAGCTGCATTGTCTTGGTGGTAAAATCAGTTCTGTCTGCCACAAATCAGGCCTTTTTTGTCACACACTGTTAGCTATCTTTTCAGCACCTCTAAATAGAAAGCTTGATTAACAGTCTGACCTGGTGGAACAAACTCCAAATGCACTACCAGTTGACATTTTCATCCATTCGGAAAGTTGACATAAGTCCAGAATGAGATTTGTTATCAATCAACATTTCACCTTTTTTGAAATGAAAAAACTACTTGTACAGTTGAGTTTTTCCCATAGCTCTATCCTTGTAAGCTGTGTCAACATCACAAAAATTTCTGCAGCATATTTCCTGAGCAAGAAACAAATTTCACAGCTGCACACTGTCCTCTTAAATTGGCCACCACAAAAAACAAGGTTTGAGAGAAACTGTTTTTATGAGAAAATTCACTGTGACCAGAGAGAACCTTCCCAGGTGATATCACTAGATGCACTAACTCAAAGTGAGTTGTTCAATGCTCACCTAGCGGGAAAAATGTGCGCCGCAAAAGCTT